AATTTGACGTACAAACGTTAGTTTTTTGAGGCAATAGAGTCAATAAACTTTGGACAAGACGCATATTTTTTAATCGAAGAAAAGTGTTTTTTTGAAAATTAAATTTGTTAGTGTGTGTTCATTATTACGTTTTAGAAAAAATAATATACATCAAACATTTTTTTTGTTATGCTCTTTCATATGAGATCATATCTTTATAGCACTTAGGGATCCCTTTAAAAAGTTCAAATTTAGAAAAAATGTTTTTTTACTTTTTGTTTTCCATTAATCATGTGATTAAATCAAGTAAAAATTGTAACATACTGTAAATATTAAATCAAGTCGCTTTATAGACAACTTTACAGTTTTCATTTTTCAATTTAATAGACATTGAAAAATACCCCTCCCTTTTAAGAATGGGGGTGCAAATAATGCTTAGCCTTAAGCTTACTAGGGCACTGAACACCACTATACTTAGCAAATAAAAGTATAGAATAATTTTAAAATATTTTGAAAACAAATTATCATAGTTGCTGCTTGAAGTTACAATAAAAAAACTCAACAAAGTATTAAAAAAAGTGTTTTTCAAAGAGGGCTTTCTAAAATTTTTATAATTTGTTTCACAATATTTTACCATAAAATAGTCCATAACAACTACTTTGCGAATATATAAAAACTTACCCATAAATTATAAAATAACTTTTTTTTTTTTAATTTCCAAAATTCTAATTAAAAACTTCCGTAAAATTATCATTCATACTGCTAAGTATGCATTTTTTTAAGAGTATACTGCTAAATATACACTTTTTTTAAGATTTACTTTTTTTTAGAGTATACTGCAGAGTATACATTTTTTTAGACTTGATAAAACTTTAAGAATAAATGAGTGCATGAGCCGTAAATTGCCTGTCTAAAACGGATAGGGTTGGTGAACCTGGCAATAAGTCTTTACACAGGCTTTTTTGATATTAGATAAAAAAGCTTATGGATGAATTAAAATTGATTACATTTCGGTAATAGTTTTTTAAGTTTTTTGTATCATATCATAATTACAGGGAAAAAATCATCACCAAAGGTTGTTTTTGTAATAATATATTTATTTGAAAGTTAAAATAGTTAATAAATTCTCATATTTTCTTTGATTCGTCAAATTAAGATACCATGTCAAATTTCATAGAGTTTAATAGCAAAACACCTATGTGGAAACATTTTCTGTGCGACAAGGAAAGTGAAACAACAATGTGTTAACTAAGCCATTGCAAATTAATATTGAAATTTACTAATGGTTCAACAAAAGCTTTTCATTTGCATCTACTTAAGTTACATAAAATAAATTTAAATACAGAACTAGCATGTTTTTTGAAATCAGAAGAAGAACCACAGAGTAAAAAAGTAAAATTAGTTTATATTTTTCATCAAATATGAATAAAAAGGTTTGCCTGAAGTGCTTGCAAGATTAACAGCTAAAGATGAGATTTCTTTTAATGTAATATGTACTTCTATTGATATACGTGCTGGGCTGGCTATGAGGTGATTTGTCAACATACCTAAGTCTTGGGCGTTCAAAATAAGTCTTGGGCATTCAATTTTATAATAAAAAGCCCAAACACTTTTGAAAAAAATGGTACCAAATTTCCCTAACAATATAAAGAATGTTATAAGAAATGAATTAAGACAAAAAATTAGCAGTGGAACTAAATTTTCAATTTTTTTTGATGAGTGGACGTCAATTTGAAACATTCTTTATTTGAATATCAATTTGAACAAAAGAGACAATTTTTAGAATTTAAGTATAGTAAGGATTGTAGGGAAAATGCCAGCTAAAAAGTGTGTAATTTCATTTAAAGAAAACTCTATGCGTTTAGTTTAAAGAAAACATTGTGTGCATGATGACAGGGTAATGAAAAAAATTTGAAAACTAATACAGATTAATCAACAGCTATGCTTTGCTCACGGTATTCAACTGGCTATTATTTCAGTTTTATATAGGGGAAAGGCGCCTATGATGGCATACTTAACTTTGAAGCTTCATTATTCAGTATCCTGAAGACCAAGAACAAAAGTTTTAATATGGATGCATTCTTTGTTACACATAGAACAATAATAACCTTAGGAGCTTTTATCAGTTTTTTTTTTTTTATTAGTTATTTTTATTAAAAAAATAAAGCATAAGTATGCCATCATAGGCAACTACTGCTCCTATGATGGCATAGGGCAGCATGGGGTTGGTTATTTTTTGAACAACAAATTTTTTAGTAAAGTAAAAATTCCTTTTTACTTCAATAACAAGTATGTTGTTTTTATGAGAAAAAAAAGGTTTTCTCTACTTGTCAATATTGCAACACACTTAACTCGTCAGTATGCCATCATAGGAAGAAGTCATCAATTTCATTTAAACAAGCTGTGTCTGCCTTGTTCAAAAGATAAAATTAAAGTAAGTATTCTACTAAATGCACAAAACTTGGAAATAAAATGCAAGAAAATTTTATTTCTGCACAGTTAATATTAAAATCACAATCTTAAATATTTAAAGGGATTAAAAATACAAAAGCGCATTCAAAAATCCATTTTTGTTGATTATAGAAGCAATATTTGTGCATAAGGGACGAATTTTTACTAAAACTAATATAAAGTCAGAATAGACATGTTGGTCTTATCACTTTATCGCCATAACCAATATTTATGAAAATATTACCGGTATGCTGTCATAGGCGCCTTTCCTCTAATATGCCAGCATCAATTTGTATGCATAGACACTCCCAACAAGGCTGCAAGCAACCACTATTAAGTTGGGAGTTACTAGGAAAAAAAAAAATTATAGTTATAGTTATAGAGCAAGGAAACGGTTGACAGAAGACTTGAAAAGTTGAAGGTTGTATGAGTCAGGAAAACATGAAGATGGGAGAGAGTTCCAAAGGATTGAAGTGCGGGGAAAAAAACTAGATGAATAAAAGTTTTTAGAGCATGCAGGGACAGATACAGTAAACGAATGAGACTTAGCTGAATGACGAGTAAAACGAGAATGAATTTCAGTTGATGAAACTAAAGATGATAACTCCTTTGAGCAGTGACCATGATAGTATTTGTAGAAAAGAGAAAGAGATGCAACTTTACGACGATGGGAAAGAGGTTCAAGCTTAGCAGATAGTCCAGGTCCAACAACATTTACAATGCGTTTTTGGACCTTGTCAAGAAGAGAAAGTGAATCGTTAGAAGAACCAGCCCAAATATGACAACAGTATTCCATACAGGGACGAATAAGAGATTTGTAGAGGTAGAGAATGGAATCAAAAGTAAGGAAATGGCGAGCACGATAAAGAGAAGCAACCTTAGCAGAAGCTAATTTAGCAATCGATAGTATATATGGTTTCCATGAAAGGTCAGTAGTAAGCGATAATCCAAGAAGACGTAAAGTGGAGGACTCAGTAAGAGGATTGCCATTCATTAATATAGGAATGTTGACCATATTACGGTAGTTTTTGCAGTAAGCAACTGGGTTATTTTAGAGTTGAAATTCACAAGCCACTGTGAACCCCAATCTATTACTGAAGTGAGATCGGATTCAAGATCAGCTGCTTGTTCTAGGCGATCGAAAAGAGAAGCTTTTTTGTCAAGACAGGAGTATAAAGTTGAGTCATCAGCAAAAAGAGCTACTTTAGATGAAAGGTTGTCAGGAAGATCGTTTATGTAGATAAGAAACAAAACAGGGCCAAGGATGGAACCTTGGGGAACCCCAGAAGTTACTGGAAATAAAGAAGAGTGTTGGCCTTCAAGGATGACTTTAATAAACCGGTTAGAAAGAAATGATTTGATAATCTCAAAAACTTTCCCAGAAACACCATATGAAGCAAGCTTATAGAGAAGACCAGCATGCCAAACTTTGTCGAAAGCTTTAGATATGTCGAGAGCAATAGCCCTAGCCTCACCGCCTCCATCTAATGCACGATAAAATCTTTCAGTTACAGCCGTTAGCAAGTCGGCCGTAGAGTGAGAGGATCGAAAACCGTATTGATTGTCTGACAGTAGTTTATTTGACTCAAGATGAGATGTGAGGAATTTGTTGATCAAAGACTCAAAGACCTTGCTAATAACAGAAAGAAGACTGATCGGACGATAATTGGAGGGGTCAGAATTTTCTCCAGAGTTTTTGAATATTGGAACCACAGTTATTCAAAGAAGTTGATGATCTATTGAAAATTTTAAAAATGAATCTGAATTTAGTGAAAGCTGTGAATCAGTTAACAAGATGGTGATGAGAGTTGTTTTATAGTGGATAATCAAATAATTTTTTATTAATTTCATAAGTTAAAAAATTGCATAAAATAGACACTTGTTAATATCAGTAATCAGTAAAATTATTGATTCTATAAAAATGTTAAATAATGAGTATGAAATTGTTTCTGAACTAGTGAACATGCTAATTCCAGTTAAGGCAGCAGTAAAAGCGCTTTGTGCTGCAAACGTTATGACTGCTGACATAGCGTTAGAGTTTAAGTCAACTAAATTAAATGAATTGAATACTATAACAAGTTATTTATAATCAACATTTTAATGCATTAGCCTCTAGAATCAAAAAGCGAAAAACTAAATTAAGTAGCACTGCACTATCTACATTACAAAGAAAACAAATTAATACCCATAGGTGAAGTTTTTGAAACATCTTCAAATATTAAAAATAAAAAAATGTTGTAGCTTTTAAATATAACAAATGTAACAAATTTAAGTGAAGATGATGAAAAATCGAAAAAGCACAGATAATGAAATGCTGAAAACTATTAATGAGCAACTAGAAAGAGGTTTTCTACAAACAACCAGAAATTCTTTGTCAAGATTAAGTGAAACTCTTACTTCTAAATTATCAAAAGAAATGTCATTGTTTGAAAGTGGTTGTAATAAAGGTGATAAGAAAGTTTGATTTTTTAGTGACGAATAAACCAACATGCATAAAGTCAAAAAGGGCATTTTCCTTTTCTAAAGTTTATATTCTTTATAATTACTGTTTTATTTCATAAGAAAAATACCTGGTAAATAACTGGTGTTCCATTAACTTCAGCTTCAAAAAGTATTGAAGAAGTATTTGAATCACTGTTAAATGTGACATTGCGTTTTCCATCAACAGTTACCTATAATATAAAAATGTAAAAAACTAAGTCTTTTAAACAAAAACATTTTTTTAAACAAAAACATTTTTTTAAACAAAAAAATTTTTTTTGATTATTATGGATTACCTGCATTGTTTTTCCATCATAGCTACCAATAAGGTGGTGAGTTATTCCATTCACTTTTACAAATAAATTGCACGTTGTTGAGATTTTAGGTGACCTACAAATTATTTTTTAGAGATTTCAAGTAAACAAATTTGCACTTTCACAAAACCTTAGGATTTTTTCAAAAACTTTGTTATAATTTTAGATAACTGAAATATTTTATTATGATTTTAAGTGACTTGAAGTTAAAACTTAGAATAAAAAGAAGTTTAAAGGAAACTAAATAAAGTAAACTATATAAGTAGACTATTTACAGCATTTGTGTTAGTTACAGCATTTTAAAAAATAAAAAAAGTGTGAAAATTAAGAAACCATTTAATAAATGTTTTTAAAATTGTTAGATCACTTTGCCTAAATTTAAAAGTGAATTTTCTTTAATATCTATTCTTTTAAAGCAGTAGTTCCCAACCTTTTCTTACCCGTTTCCCAAACTATATATCATAAAATTTTTATGGACCCTTTTGCTTTTAATAATTATTATAATGTGAAAATTTTAATAATGTAATTTTTATTCATCAGGATAATATTTTGTTTAAGGTATTTTTGATTAGACTGTATGAATTCCTTGTCTTCAACTAGAAGTTATCTAATGGTGTTATTTAGAAGTGATCCTTAGCCATGGTATCACCCTTTAACTCTATGTATTCTTCTTGTGCTTCCTCTTTCATACTTTTCACATCACAAGAAAATGGTAATATATTTTCATATTTCTTTTTATATTTCTTTCAAATTTTTCCATTTTCTTTCATATTTTTCCTCATGTATTGGTCAACAGGGACACAATATTTTAAAATAGCTGAGATTATGTCTTTGTCTAGATATAATATATTAAGAGAATTTTTATTTCCTACTAATAACTTAAAATTTAATCAACTTGAGACAACAAAACTTAACAATTGCAGCTATTTTAATTAGTTTTAAAAATTATAAAAAATAGACAATTATACCTAAACTTGCTATTGAGAAACTGTCCAGCAAGGTCTTCTTGTTTCAAAAATAAAAATGCTGCAGCAGATAATAACTGGTCATTTTCTTCACAGCTAAGTTTACGACCTATATAAATAACTTTTACTCATTAAAAGGATTATTTATTATTGTATTTGCTTTGTTATAGAAGTTATTAAACTACATTTATTTTAAATGTTAACTTTTTTTATAATTTTGAACAGCCTTGAAAAATTTGGTAAAATTAAAAAATTTGTAAAACTAATGCCAAATTTAATTAATAACAGGCTAAATTAAAACTCTTAGAAATAAAAATGCATTACATTCCTTTAAACATATGTAGAATATATTTAAGTTATTATAAATATACTTAATTATTTTAGAATATATTTAGTTATTATAATATTAAGTTATTATAAATATACTTGAGTACTTAAAAATAAATTTAAATATAAGTTATTATAAATTAAATATATTTAAGATATTATAAATATACACAATAATATTCAAGAATGTACCTGATTCCAATATAATTTAAGAATTTACCTGATGAAAAATATATTGTCTTAAGAAAAAATGTTTTTTTTTAAAGCAATATATTGATCATCAGGTCAAAAAATGAATAAGAAAGAAGAGTGCTATCCATCGAGGACTTTCTACAATTCTACAAACTTCTACAAAATTGGAAAGGAAAGATTCAATAATCTTGAGAAGACTAACTTTTTAAGGAGAAAACGCTTTAGAAATGTCATGTTCGATAGCCTTAACCTCTCCACCTCTATCTAACATACAAATTTTTGAAAATAGGGATAACAGATGCCGCATTCCACCAAGCTAGAAAACAAGACTCTGATAAGCACTTGTTGAATAGTTTTAAAAGTAAAGACAACTCCGGAGAACACTTCTGCAAGACTATAACAGGTATGTTGTCCGGGTCAGAAGCTGTAGAAGAGTCTAAGCAGGAAATCACTTTTGATACCAATGCTTATGTATCAAACACCTGTTTATTATTGCTAGAAATGGTTTCTAGCAATAACAAAACAGGCATCTGTTTTTTGGAGAATAATTTTGCTAATAGATATGGAAGTAACGGTTTCGATTGGATATTGCAGCAGCACAATGTGAGGAAAACCATGAAAAAAGGGTGACTTGACCTGGGATCGTCAAGAGGGAATAAAAGATTTCATGCCAGCCTGAAAATATATATATATATATATATATATATATATATATATATATATATATATATATATATATATATATATATATATATATATATATATATATATATATATATATATATATATATATATATATATATATATATATATGAATATATATATATGAATATATATATATATATATATATATATGAATATATATATATATATATATATATATATATGAATATATATATGAATATTTATATATGTATATATATATATATATATGTATACATGTATATATATACATATATACATATATATATATATATATACATATATACATATATATAATATATACATATATACATATATATATATATATATATATATATATATATATATATATATATATATATATATATATATATATATATATATATATATATATATATATGAATATATATATGTATATATATATATATGAATATATATATATATAAATATAAATATATATATATATATATATATATATATATATATATATATATATATATATATTTTATAAAGTTGTATTTTTCTATTTAATTATACTTAATTATATATATATATATATATATATATATATATATATATATATATATATATATATATATATATATATATATATATATATATATTATATATATATATATATATATATATATATATTTTATAAAGTTGTATTTTTCTATTTAATTATACTTAATTATATATATATATATATATATATATATATATATATAATATATATATATATATATATATATATATATATATATATATATATATATATATATATATATATATATATATATATATATATATATATATATATATATATCTGGGTGTTAACCAGCCTGATGGCACCGCGTATAACGCGGAATTCCCAATTTTTTTTAAAATTTTCCAAAAGTTCAAAAAATCGTTAAAAAAAAAACATCCATTAATCCTGTAATTAACAGACTTCGATTTTAAGTGTTTCACAAGAAACGTAGAAATACATAGTACACAAAACAAAGAAAAAAGTTAGTTGATTGAAAACAATTACTTAAAAAAGCGTAGCAAGTCATTCAAAGTCATTCAAAAAGCTTAGCAATTTATTCAAAAATAAAATAAAAACTTTATTTGTCAATTGACGTAAGTTGTTCTTTAGTTTTTTTATTTCGCTTATTACATAGTTTTTTTTGTGTTTTTTTTTTGTATTTTAGACTTTTTATTTACAATAAAAAAAATTTAAACTAACGAATGCTATTTATCTTTAGTTAATAAAGATTATAGCATAGTAATTATTCAAAAAATGACTTTGGTGGTGGTAAATGTCATTTCGAAATTACTTAAAAAAAAGAGAATAAAAAGTTTTTTATTAAGGTAATTAAAAAAATACTGTTAGTAAACTAAATTTGCTGGTAAAGTATTTTAGTGTAATTTAATTATTAAATTTAATTTAGTTTAGTTATTAAATTAGTTATTAATAAATTTAAATTATTAAATTAGTTATTAAATTAAAATTTAGTTATTAAATTTAGTTTAGTTATTGAATTTAATTTCGTTTAATTTAATTTAATTAAGTTTAATTTAATTTAATTTAATTAAGTTTAATTTAATAAAGTATTTTAGTGTAATTTAATTATTAAATTTAATTATTAAAAGTATTTTAGTGCATTTAATTATTAAATAAATTATTTGTGTAAATAAAGGTTATAAATTATTTGTGTAAAACATAAAAAAAGAATATAGTATTTTAAACAAATTTTTTGAATTTTTTTTTAAATTTACAAATCAAAAATTTTAATAAACAAATAAAAAAGTTTAATTTACTAAAACAAAATTTACAAATACAAAAATCAATTTTTTCTTTCAATTTACACATACTAAAGTTACAACTTAGAGAAATATGTCAAAATTCTATTCGATTAAAAAAAAATTACTCAAAAGACATAGACGTTTTATTTGACCAAAGTAACGATAACTTTTTTAACATCAAAAACATTTTTAACTTTTTAACATTCTATTGGAACAAAATTCTATTCTATTGAATAGAATTATGTTCGATAATGTTTCACTTCAAAGACCTTAATATTCTTGAAAGACTTTGGCGTTCTATTAATAATTTAGATGCAAGTCAATAAAGTTAAAGCGACTACAAAATGCCTTCAAATAATGGAAAATACTATTAAAAAAATATATATAACAAAATTCAATCAAAAAAAAATTGTAACGTTATTTGAGAAATGAAAAAAAAAAAAAAACAAGTGTGCAAAACTATAGTCAACAATGTAAATCAGTAATAAGCGAAAGTCCTTGTCAGTCTAAATTTTTTGTAAGCGAACGTCCTCATCAGTCTACATCAGCACTAAGTGAAAGTCCTTATCAGTCTACATCAGCAATAAGTGAAAATCCTCATCAGTCTACATAAGTAGTAAGCCAAAGTCCTCTTCAGCCTACATCAGCGGAAAGTGAAATTACTCATCAGTCTACATTAGCAGAAAGCGAAAACAATGTATACGTCGTTCCTTTAATTTCAGTTCTTGGAAAAAGAAAAAAAAAGAAAGTCAAACCAGCACAAATACCAAGCAAAAATGTAGATAACCTACAACTTAAAACAACAGAAAAGTATGAGATGTTATTTCTCGATTTTTTTTATTCTTCATCAGAACAAGGTTGGTTTTGTAAAATTTGCATATCGTTTACCCCTGGAAAAAAAAGTAATCGTGCATTTATTGAAAATCCTGGCAAGTTTGCAGATCACCCCTTGGAGCGTGCTAACGATCACTTAAATACGCATAGGCATACTATAGCTTTAAAAAATAAACAAGCTTTTGATGAAATGTCTAAGCAAGACTCGAGTATCTGAAAAATGCTGCGTGAAAATACCCTTGCAAAAAAAACTTTAAAAACAAGTAACTCTCGCTTCGTTTTTAAAACCTTCTTTTGAGTCACGCATTTGTTAATCATGAAAAACTGGGCAAATACTCATAACTTTCCAGACATCATTGAACTTATTGCTGCGTGTGGTTGTAAGGAAGTTAAGGCGCACGTTTTACCTAGCCCAGCAAATGCAACATACATGTCTCCGAAATATATTGCTAAGTATATAAACATCATCTTTGATTTTGTCAAAAATCCTTTACTCCAGTCACTTAGAAGTAGTAGGAGTTTTTCTTTTTATAGGATGAAACTGCTGACATTACTTCAATTGAACTGTTAACAATATATGCCACTTTTAAACACAACTGCATTGTTAAAGAACATTTTATAGGGATAGTTCCTTTAAGTAAGTTCACTGGTTCTAGTCTATCAGCTTTAAATGTTTTTGATGTTATTCAAAATTTTTTTAGAGCTAATAATATCTTATTTAAAAATGCTAGCTTTGCTTGTATGGACACAACACAACAAGCGCCAATTCTGGTGTAAAAGGAGGTTTAAAAACCTACATTGAGGATGCTGTGCCACTGTGTGTTTGGGTTGAGTGTACAAGTCATAAACTTGCATTATGTTTTAAACATATTTTGAAGGACTTTCCTACTATTATGGAGGTAGATATTTTTTACTTCACTTATGGAAGTTTTTCAAGTACCACACACTAGCCATGCATTTGCTGCAGGAATGCGCCGAAATCTACAGAAAACTAGAAACCATAGTTCCAATGTGTCCAAGTGTTACTTGTTAGTCTTAACGACATTCCAACTTATGTCAATCAAGCTAATCATAGTTTAGATGATTTAATTTTGGGTACATAAAGCAAAAGTATTTTATGGAAAAAAATTTTATGGAAAAAAAATTTTATGGAAAAAAATTGATGAAATAACCTATTCGTTACCAGCCACAAGACGATAAAAAAAAAATAAAAACTTTGACTTTAGTGAGTTTGAGTTAAATATTTTTAGATCTTTTGTTAACAGTTTTAAAAGTGAACTAAAAAACACTCTTGCACAAATGGAATTTTGGCAATCGCTTTCAATTTTTGACCCACGACGATTGCCTAAAACACTCAGCCAACTGTCTAGTTATGGTAAAGAAAGCTTAGAGCAACTCATAACTCACTATGGCAAACCAAAAAGCCGAGAATAGGAAAACAGTTTCGATATACGTATATCAAAAGAAAAAGATCAAGAGGTAATCAATAATTTAATTAAGTCAAAAAACAATTTTACGCCTCAAGAGTTATGGAAAGTGAATAATAATGACCCTGTTTTGATAAGTGTTTATGCTAATTGTATGTTTTTAACTAAGTTACTCATTATATTTCCTTTGAGTGTAGCTTGCGTTGAAAACTTTTTTCCAAAATTAAAATAGTTAAAAATCGTCTTCAAAATCAGCTAAGTAAAAGCACATTAGAAAGCTTGATGATGATTGCAACAGAAGGTCCAAAGGAGTGTTTTGACGACGATTTGTTAGAGTATTTTGTCGATGAGTTAAAACGTAAAAATCAAAATATGAGAATTACATTGTAAATTTATAATTTACAATGTAAATCTCATATTTTTATTTTTTTATTTGAGACTGCAGACAATTGGTAAATATTTAATGTTTGTAACTTTTTCCACGGAAAATTCATGGTGATTTCTTTGTAGTTCAGCAGTGTTTTTACAATTTGTGTTTGTAGCAACTTACTGGACTTTTATTTGGATGCAAAACAAAAGCTTTTTGTTCCCAAACTTTAGAGCTAAATGGTTTTAATAATCAAACAATAATAATTAGACGACAAAACTTTCTGCATGATCGCCTAGTTTTCTTATTGCTTTAAACCCAAATGTTACCTAAATAAACAAGCTAGTGCGTTGAGAAACGCTCATTTAAAACGCGCATGAACCAAGCTTATCAGAAAGTTATCATAAATTATTAAAACTTTCCTTATAATGAATGCCATTTTATAAAACAGTAATCATTTAAAAAATAGTTTTTGATATTAAAAAGGTACTCGAGGAAGGTTAAAACTGTTATAAATTCTGTTGTAAAAATTTAAATTTTACACATAATAAAAAAGTAAATGAATAAGAAAGAATTCTATATTTACAGCCATACACTGTTGTTGCTAATAATCGTTTAAACTTCTTTTTAAAATATAATATAGTTTTTTTTATCATATTAAATATTACTTAAATATATATATAAATATATATATAAATATATATATATATGTATATGTATATATATATATTTATATATATATATATATATATATATATATATATATATATATATATATATATATATATATATATATATATATATATATATATATATATATATATATATATATATATATATATATATATATATATATGTATGTATGTATATGTGTATATATATATATATATATACATATATATATATATATATATATATATATATATATATATATATATATATATATATATATATATATATATATATATATATATATATATATATATATATATATATATGTATGTATGTATGTATATGTGTATATATATATACACAAATACATATATATATATATATATATATATATATATATATATATATATATATATATATATATATATATATATGTATATATATATATATATATATATATATATACACATATACATATATATATATATATATATATATATATATATATATATATATATATATATATATATATATATATATATATATGTATATATATATATATATATATATATATATATATATATATATATACATATATATATATATATATATATATATATAACAGTTCCCATCAATTTGCAGTTAACCGACTATTCGGTAAATTAGTGATGCTTTCTTAATACAGGATCTTCTAAATTTCAACGAACGTAGCGTTTTAAACTAATTTTTTAAAAATTAATGTTAAAGTGTAAATTTTCAAGACAGTTAGTGAATACAGTCTTATATTATATAACTAATTCTCTTTATTACATTTTTAGGGTTCCTCCTCCACCTAATAAGTTTCAATAATCTTTTATTGAAATTCAACCAATGTGAATTTTAATACATACCACAATGAAATTCAACCAATTATATTTTTTTAGCGTCTATTTTAAAAACTCATTGTTATGCAAACATAGATGGAAACACATAAACTCAAGTGTTCTCAAAACAACTTGTTGCGGAAAGATAATATAAAGAATATTTGCTAACACTAAAATACCGCCAAATCTTCGAATAAACAAACTTTATTGGTTCAAAAAATACGCTGAATAATAGAATTAGAGTTCCAGAATATTCTGAAGAAACTTTCTTAAAAATGTATTGCTTGAGTTGCAAAAGTAATAAATAAATCTTTGAGATTTCTATTGTAAATTGTTTTAAGAATATATTATCAAACAAAACTCATTAAATTAACATTTAAATTAATAAAAGAAATTTATCATAATCTTTGATAAATTAACATTTGTCAAACAATAATCGTCATAATTACGCTGTTACTTTCTATAAAATTTCGTAAAATTTTCAAGTCGGTTTTTAATATTCAAAAAAAAGATATTTGATATTCGAACAAAACCCGGTTAACCGCAAAACCACTATATATATATACATATATATTTAAACAATTTTAAAATGTATTTTGAAATTTTGTTATATGGAAGTGCTGTTTAAAGGATGGACCAATTCAGTATAAAATCATCAATACTTTTATCTTTTAATTCCCATACATTGACAGCATGGTGTCTTTTGAATGCTTTTACTTTTAAAAAATTGATTATGATTAGTAAAACCTTATTTCCATTCACCCTCTGTTATGCCAATATATTGATTATCAAGTGCATTCTTAGAGGAAACAACACATTTATATACCACATTTTTGGATAAACAACTTCTGTTATGCCAATATATTGATTATCAAGTGCATTCTTAGAGAAAACAACACATTTATATAGCACATTTTTGGATAAACAACTTCCACTCGTTGGACAACTGTTTTTTTGTATATAACTACAATTTTCTGTAGTTTTTTCATTTATGATTTCCTTTTGTTTAACAAAGCATTATAGTGACCTTTTATAATTTTTTCCAAATTTTTTGTGCAACTCTAGCTAACTTTAATTGTATATTGATTAAAAATTTTATGTAATTTATTAGATGGTGGGAAATACTTATTGACCAATTTTAAAAACACAATTCCTATGTTAGTGGAAACATCTTTGCTTTATGGGAATTGAACCATACTACGCTTTTAGTTCTATTTTGCTTTTTTGTATTCTTTTTTTCAGGATCAAAATTTAGTTCAAAACTTTCAAAACCACTTTTTTTAAGTCGAATATTTGTTTAGAGGAATTAAATACATTTTCACCAGAGGAGTTTTGGTTTAGCCTGTTATTAATTGAAATCGGTATTTGTATTAGAATTTGGGGTGGATGATTTGAGTTAATATTAATATATTATAATTCATTGTTTGGTTTTTTGGAAGGCTTACATGAACTTTCAGATAGGTTAAATGTGACATCAAGAAAAGCTCACAATTTTCAAATCTATGTTTATTTCGATTTGAAAGGTGATATTTTTAAAAAATTTTATAATACTTTTTCTAATTTTATTGAGCTGTGGACCAGATTTTTTACGCATTACTATAAACCATCGTCGCGAAAAAGACCAAAATCTTTTATATTGATTATTTTACTTAATAAATCTAAAATATATAGATATAAATATATAATAAATCTAAAATATTTAAATATAACTGCAGATATTTTAGATAAAACAAAAACGTAGAAAAAATCTTACTTTATTTTAATAAGGAAACTTGGAAAAAGAAAAACATACATATTATAATAACATACATGACTACTTTGATGTAACATACATGACTACTTTGATGTAACATACATGACTACTTTGATGTAACAATGGGCATTAATGACGGAGCAGAAATTTATGAATTTATTGGATATTGGATTTATTAAGTAAAATAATTAATATAAAAGATTTCAATTTAAAACAATTCAAAATTTTAGGTGGGCCATGAAATATAAAAAACTCAAATATTTGGTAGTTAACCAGTTTGATTTTAAAAAATGCAAGAACTTTAAAATTATTAATTTTTCTCTTTTCTAAAAAATATTTAATCTTAATTAGGAATTGCTGATACACTTTTATTTATACCAAAATAATGGTAAGCCACATCTGATTGATAGACCCTCAAAGCGAAATTTAATAGAAAGTAACCTAGTTTTATAAAATAGCTTTCGATATTATTTTGCAATGAGTGGTAAGACTTGATGAAGTTACACCTTTAATTCAAATCTTCTAATATCAAAAAATAATTTCATAAATCCAGAAATATATATTTTAATCTCTCGTGAAAAAGTGATAAGCTAATGTTGAAACTTTTCAAACTTATCACTAATGATGACAAAAAATATATGAAAGAATAGATTTACCTGCAAAACCTTCAGGATACTCCCGTGGTAAAAATGCTGTCGATATTTTTCCCTCTCTAAATCTTGGATTATCACACACATCTCTTAGCAATGAGATATTATGAGCCACTCCACGAATAACATATGAGTCTAACGCCTTATCCATTATATTTAATGCTTCTTCTCGATTTTTTCCATATGTAGCTAACTAAAACAATTTATTAGTAAAAATGAAAAATTAGAATTATTAAAACAATAAAATAAAAGAAAATTTAATAAAAAATTAATTTTTTATTAAAAAACTAATACTTTATCATTCTGTAATTTTTTATTAAAAAATTATAGAATGATAAAGTATAAACTATATATCTCCTTTAATTGAAAAGGTTGAAAAAAAAAGATTATGAAAAAACCATCTCCACTGTAGCAGCCCTTTGAAAACTTTAAAAATAAGAATTTATTTCAAATCAAAATTTATTTTAAAATTAGTATGCTTATGTATATACCAAACATTATATGATAACAAGTAATGAACAGTCATTAATCATTTCATAAAAAAATATTTTATCTTATTATTATGTATAAACAGTAAACATGTATTTTATCCTATTATTATGTATAAACAGAAAACATGTACTTTATCCTATTATTATGTATAAACAGTAAACATATGTTTTAAAATTTTTTTCTCAAGAAAAAAAGTGAAATGATTAATTTATGGCAGAAATCAACTTTAGTGACAATGCCTGTGTATTGATTTGTAAAGATTTGTAAGTCAGATCCTAAAAATTTGTCTTTAAAAAAACAAACAAAGATCACTAGAAAAATATACTAAAAGACCAACATCATAGCAAATCTTATTTATTATCTAATAATATAAAGACATTATTATCTAATAATATAAAGATGTAATTCCAACATTATCAAAATGTTGTTTTTAAATGAGTATCCAGTTATTTACATTAACTTAAATAAACTAATACAAACATAAAGAATAATGCATAAATTATAATACATAAAGAAAAAATTATATTAACTACTTAATCAAAACAATAAAAGGAAAAAAAGAGCACACGAAATGGAAAAATAACAGTGAGTTAATTGTCAGCATTGCTAAGAATTTATGATAAAAAAAAAATTTGAAAAAAATTTGAAATAAAGAAAAGATATTTTTAACCCAGAAAACATAAAGAACATTGGACATAAATATGAATTGATAGCTCTTCTACAATTAGCAAAAAAATCAAAATGTTTTCTTAAAATATATGCATTTTTCTATCACCAACTGATTCAAAAAATGTGGAGAAACTGAGCACTGACTAGGATCAGAAACAACACATAAGTCGATAGAAAAGATAAATGATTTCGGTTTGAGAAAGGCAAAAGTTGTAGACCATAACACCAGAAGAGTCACTGACACTAGAACCAAGCCAATAAGTGTGATGAGCATTAAAGTTGCAAACAATATTGGCTGAAGAATTAAGAGAAAGGGCAATTTGATCAGAAGTTGAAATTAGTACAATTTTGAGATAAAGAAGAGTGATATAGAACAAAGAGAAAAGTGATAGTCAAGTGGTGCTAAACGAAAGCACATAAAAGATTAATCTATGAATTCAAAACTAGTTTCTAAATTATTTTACAAGTACCTTATCTAAATCTTTTTTCTCGCCTGCTGGTGAATGGCATCTATAGCTACTTTCTAAAAAACTCTGGATATTGCTATGATTAATCCAAATATTTTCAATACTTTTATTTTTCAATTACTATTTTTCAATACTTACTACTATTAGCAATGTCTTCGAGTCATTAATATTAAGTCAAACAACTTATTTACTCACAATCAATACCATATTTGATCCTCTAATATTGCTGATTTGTTAACCATAATAACAGAAAGATTCTACAGTGAATTAAACTGTATAAGGAAGCTGTGAGCTACCAGTGAGGCTAGGGTTTATAAAATATCAAAAAGATTTGACAGTCTTCTTATAAAACTTAAATCCACCAATGGATGGTACTATTCAATGTACCATCCTTGTTGTGCTCACAAGATTTAATCATTTGTCCTATATTGTTTTGCATCTACATTAACAATTTTTCTGAAAATCATAACTTCAAAGTTTTATTTGCTGATGATATAACTACATATTCCGGCTTTGATAAAAAGCCTTCACTTTTTGATTGCTAAGAACAAGCAGCTTGTATGTGATTTTCCTCAAAGACAGCTCGAAACTTCTAGTAGCTAATAAAATTTAATAATTAAAACAGTTGCTTACAGATAATCAACAATGTGAAACCATAATAATGTGATAGTCTTGATGAATGACAACATTTATCAAGAATATAGCAACTGATTGCATTTTATTGTGAAAGTGCACTTTCATACTAAAATGAAATCAGTATTAAATTTCAATAAATTAAACAAATTTGCTCAAATGGTTTTAAAACAAATTTTTGAAACTGTTTGAAAGAAATATATATATCATTATAATTCTAAATCTTACTACAATTTTTAGAGTTTCTACATATTTTACTATCTATTTTCTAATAAACATTTTTTTGGGTACAATAAATAAACTCATGAAAAACCTGTCAATATGACTGCCAATATTATGAGAAATAAAATTATTTACTATTTTATTTTTGTTATTTTTTTTATTATTACTATTATAATTATTATTATTATTGTTGTTGTTGTTGTTGTTATTATTATTATTATTATTATTATTATTATTATTATTATTATTACTAATTTTATTATTGTTTTTATTATTACTAATATTATTATTATTGTATTTGTTGTTGTTGATGTTGTTGTGATTGTTGTTATTAACATTATTAATATTAAAAACAACTCTTACTTTACATATCATGGAATCATAGTAAATACTTATATCAGTCCCTTCTCGTATACCACTATCACATCGAACCTACAAAAAAGTACAAAAATATAAAACATGTACAATATTTAAAAATAGTTTTCTATAAACTTTGCTTACATTTGGAATATGAGTTGGCTCAATGTATTTTTTCAATAAACCAACTGAAGGTAGACCAAAATTTTTGTATGGATCCTAAACAAACAAAAAAAACTCTTTTAATTTTTTTTTATCTATTTAAACAAATTTTAATACAAGTAAGATTATTATTTAGGTTTACATACTTGCAGAGAACTGTTGATGTTCAGATGGATGAATGGTGTAGAGTAAAAAATAAAAAAAAACACTCATAGAAATTAAGAAAAGTAAGAGTAACAGATAGGGTGCTAATAGGGAAGATGGTTTGGGCATATAGGAGCAAAATGATGCAGATGATTAGGTATAGGCGCCATATAGAGCAGTTTCAGGATAAAGAGGTAGAAGTAAAATATGGAAAGAGTGCATTATAGATGACAGCATCAGTTAAGGAGAGTTAAGATGATGCTCAAGACATTATATGAAATATGTAACCTGTAGAAACAAGGGAAAACAACGATGATAAGAATTCTAATTTAAAATTAAGAACCAATGAAAACAATTAGATTACACTGTACAATTTTAATTTCTTTGTGACAACTTTGTGTTTTGCTTAAAATATCATGGAGTGACATTTCCTGAAATTTGTATCACCATGTTTTTGTATATTACTGAATATTATTCTGGGTGGTTTGACCAAGGTCATGAATCAAAAAAGTCAGGTTGAATACATACATTTTATTTATTTAAAATGTTAAAATTTAAATTTGACTAATATTTTTTTGTGAAAAAAAAATCTTTATTTTTGTACTTTTAAATGCACATTATACTGAAATTCGCTATTATATAATACGATGACACATTTGACATAATAAATTGTTTAAAATGTGAAGCACAGATGTCAAGAGTACTTGTTCAACTCCTCCTAAGAAAATACCTTTTTAAAAGTTTAGTTATTAATAATTATATTTATTTCACATTTTTATTTTTAAAAGTTTAGAATAAGTGCATTAATGCATACATACATCAACTGTAAATACATTGAAATGACATAATTAAGGATAGGTGCAATAAATTTAATAAACATTGGCTGACTTAATTCTCTAACATCAAAATATGCCCTGAGACACTGGAGTAAAATTCAAACTGCTTGATATGATAAAGAGAACACTTGAAGCTAACTGAAAAGAGTATATATGAGATCTGTAAAAGTTCACAAAAAGGGAAACAAAAGAAGAGTGCTGAATGCCTAAACCTTTTAGGCAAGGACTTATCACATCATTAAAAACAATCAACTTTAAAAGCTACATGCACACAAGATGTTGCTGCAGCTGAGCAAATAGATTTGATTGAATAAAAAGATGCAGCAAGGGACGAAACCAGCAAAATTTTACAAAAAAGTTACACCGGTCATATTTCAATTATTTTAATGTTTAGCTGAAAAAAAATATTTTGTTGATACTTTTGGACAAAAATTAGTTCCATGAAAGAAAAATGTCAACTGAGGACCTAGTTGAGGTCCAGCTCAACACAGGCTTATCTAATACAGACATCAAGTTGGCTTTAACTTTCAACCAAGTAGCAAAATCCCAAATTGTTAAGTCAAACTATGACTAAAGATTAAACAACCTTGGAAAATAAATGTCATATTTCTTCACACACACCGAAATTGATGGCACCAATGACAAAAGCAGAAGCAAAACTAGTCACCTTATTTTTCATTGATTTCTTTTCATTTGATTTCATTATTATGAGAAATAACTTTACCAACAAAATTAGGATTTGGATGTCTAAGAATGGATTATTCTGTTTCTTTGAAAGACATGAGTGTGTTTATAAAATTCAAAAGATAAATTGAAGTAAAACTTTTGCCATATCTATGTGAGATAATAAAATCAGGTTCATATATGAGAGATAGAATGTTAGACTTTTTTTTTTTAATGCTAATTCACCTCCTTAAAGCCATGAAGACCACTACAGTAGAGGAGACTGCTTTAATTGTAGTTACTAGCCTCTCTCAATTCTATAATTCTGATACAAACCTTAATGAACAAGGCTGCTGTGCGGAGAAACAAGTTAACATTTGCCTTTATTTAAAACACAGCTTAAAATTTATCAAGTTTCTAAAAACTTATGAGTTAAGAGATTTAGTGTAACTTAGTTATCTGATATTAATGAACAATCATTACGATTAGAAATAACTGTATTTAATATTTTTAAAATAAGAAGAAAACAAGACAAAGAGTAAGACTTGACTAACAAGAAGGAATAAAGCATCTACACCTATCTGAATTCAAGAGATTAGGTAGATGGCAAAGATTTTATCACAAAGACTAATAACATTAGCCTAGAAGTCATCACAAAATAAATACAAAAAAGATGTTCAATCAGCTTTAAGGTTATTAAAGGAAAATAATGTTAAATTTTTCTGACATAAAAGTTTGTAGTAATAATATTGTCACAACATTGTAAAAAATATAATACAGGCTTGGTCGGAACCAGGTGAAATTGCACTCTATCCCTAACCATGCAAATTTTATTTAGTTGCGACAACTTGGCTACAAATTATAAAGTTATTAAATGTATACATAGTGTGCTGTTTGGGGGTCTGGTGAATTGCGGAATTTTTTTAAACATTTTAAATACACTGCTAAAAGAAAAAGTCGTTATAATACTTTTATAGTTACACAATAATTTAATTATTTCTTTTAATTATCTTACTTAAGAATTGTTTTAAATATTACTAAACTAAAATAAAACTAAACTTGCAAATTGCAAAAAGCATGAAATGGTTATAAATATATATTTACTTTTTTATTTATTATAATTCAACTACCATTTTTATTAGAATCTTGTTGAAATAAATACTTAAATAAATAATTATATTAGACGCTTTGATAAATTGAAGAATATTGCTTTCTTTACTAAACGATCATTAATAGTAATTGTTACTTTGTGTTACTAAGTGTCTCTTAATTTTATAAAAAAAGTTAAAAAAGAGAGAAGTTTAGAAACAATTTATTCTAGACGTAATTTAATTTGTTTTAGTTAAGTTTTTTTTAATTCTTTAAGAATTCATTTTTTTTTAAGTTAATTTTTTTAGAAGTTGTCTCCTGTCAAGTTAAATTTTTTTTTTGCACTTTTTGAAATGTTCTCAAAGCACCTAAAAAGCTGTGGCCATGTTGTCCCAACTAAATATTATATGCATGGTCAGATATAGAGTGCAATTGCACCTGCTTCCTGACCAACCTTGTAATATTGTCTTTTAAATTGGTCTGAAATTTTTGATCTAAACCACCTAGAAGAAATCGCAGAGAAACTGAGCACAAGCTCAGTTTGTTTGCGATCTCTTCTAGGTAATCTTTTAGCAAGACACAATCAAAGGAATAAATTATTGAAAAACTAGTTAAAAAGTTAACTATATGAGCAAGAGATTAAGAAATACAAAAATTTCGAGTTTTCGTTTTACTTTTGAGTTAATTGCAACCAAACTAAAGTTTAGAGTCAGTAGTATTCCAACCAACTCAATGTAATTAGCATGTAAGTCACCAATAACAATATTAACGGCTGATGAAAAGAAAAGATTTTGTCAATTGGATCAAAAAAACTTTTAAAGTTTTTTTAAAAGTGCAGTTTAGGGAAGAACAATAAAGAACAATAAAGGTTAAAAACAGGTACAACAGTGCTGAATGAAACCACATAAGAAAATAGAAAGGGGGTTTCAAATCTGCAAAAAAAAACAAATATATGAATTGATACGTATATAATAAGTATATGTCCAGGCCAAAGCTAGTAGAGGTTTTTGAAAATCAAATAATAACAGTCATCAATACCTAAAGAATAGTTAAATTTAAATTACTTTCACACAAAACAAGTAGGTCTAGTAAATTTTGCCAAAGATATGATTTAAAATTCGTAAAAGAAAACATTTAATGTTAATAGTTTAATGTTTTTCATGTTTTTCATGTTTTTCATAGTGTAGTTTAATGTTCATGTTTAATATTTGTAATTTTAAGATATTAGAGAATATTTATACAATATATATAATAACAAAAAATCATAGATGTTAATAGATGAGTTTTTATTTCTTTTATTAAATAATAAAATTATACTAAAATTTCTTGGCTTTCACAAAAAGTGTTTAAAGCTGATAGAACAAAAGCAAAATCCAATGAAAGTAAATACTAATTAAATAAATAATCAAAATCAATAATAATTAATATAATTGAACATTTTACTCCAATTTTTTTTTTTAATAATTTTAAAAAATAGCTACCTCTGCATAAACACGGCATTCAACAGCCCAACCCTTTAAAGTTACATCTTCTTGTTTAATAGGAAGTTTTTGTCCAGCAGCACTACGCAACATCAACTCAACTATATCAAGACCAGTAGTCAATTCTGTAATTGGGTGCTCAACTTGTAACCTTGTGTTCATTTCAAGAAAATAAAAATTTCTATGTTTATCAACAAGAAATTCAACAGTTCCAGCAGAGTTATAACCAACTGCTTTTGCCAACATCACAGCTTGAGTACCCATTGCTTTACGAGTTTCTGCATCTAAGAAGGAGCTAAAAACACAAATCATTCATTTTAAATATTGTAGAATATATAAATTTAAAAAAAATACTACATAAATTAAACATATTAAATTGAACACATCAAATTAAACATATTGAATAATAAACATAAAATTGAACATATTACAAAAAAATTAAAAATAACAAACTTTAAAAAATATTTCAACCTATTATGAAAAAATTAAAAATAACAAAAAATTATTAATAAAAATTACTACAATTTAATTCAAAAGTATTTGAAAAAAAAATTCTGAGTATTTCATATCTTAATCATTCTCCTAAACATTACACCATTATAGTGTGTATTAAAAAAAGAAATGTTATACTGTTCAATATATTGGGTTCAAGTCTCGGAGAAAATAATATAAAACCTCTTAGTGTCTAATATTTGAAAATGAACGTTTTATTACAAATTTTATTGCAAATTATAATAAAAAAATTTTTATGTTAAATTGATGAAAATTTATTAGAAAAGTTGTAAACATGTTCTAAGGGATGCACAGGACAAAAAACAAATTAGACCAAAATCAAATAATAAAAGAAATGCAGTAAGCAGGACATTATGTGATAAGTTTAACAACATCATGTGATAAGTTTATTCAAATGTAAGTAATTCTGAGGAAGAAACAAAAATTATGAACATGGAACACTTTAGCTAGTTAAATTAAATTTAAAACCTATAAATAAATTTAATTTAATAACCTATAAGTAGTTGTTAAACAAAAAGAAATTATTGTAATTTTGGTAAATTGGATAAAAATAATCTTTTTGATTGTATAAATATTACTTATTGATTAGTATTTACCTTGGAGCCTCTTCTATTACTTTTTGATTTCTTCTTTGTATAGAACATTCACGTTCATTTAGATAAACCTAAATATTTATTATTTAAATACTATTATTAAATTTTTTTATTTTATTGCTTTTTGTATTGTTGTAAACAATTATTTAAAAATTACTAAATTAATATTTAAGTTTAATTAAAAAAAAAATTTAATAAGCATGAAAAAATGAACTTTTTTTAATCAAAGTAAAGTTCTTTAGAATTGATTTCTATTTTCTTGATTCATTTAATTTACAGCTTTTAGTCTTAAATAGTCAGCAATTTGCTATTAAAAATAATGTATTTCTGTACTTACATTCTTCTAAACGTTTTTTTAAAAATTTAGGTTGGCATTTAAAACTGTTTAAAGTATACAGAAATGCCTAATTCCAGATTCATAAGTAAATCATAATTCAACTACCTAAGGAAATAATGAAACAAAGAGGACTAAAAAATGAACATGATTAAAACTTCAATATTATCATAGCTTTCGTATCTTCTTTTAATTGAAAGCCATTTGCAATTTTTTTTTAAAATCTTTCTTAAACGTGTCATAAAATTACAATAGTATTGAGTTCAAAGTGTACTCAAGGTATTTTTTTTTAATATTATTTTAAAAGTTAACTTTAATACTATCCAAAAAAAGGTTTTTAAAAATGATAACTATCATTATTTAAAATTTCATTATAAAAAACTTAAAAAATTAAAAAAAATTATTGTTGAAAAAATTTGTTAAAATGCACTTTTATCATTTTTATTTAATATTTTTATGCATTAAAGTCTAATATATTAATTTTTATAATTTGAATTTAAATTTTAAAATTTTCATATTGAGCTGCACTATTAAAACTTGAAATTTTTATGAAAATATTAGGCACTCATTCAAGAGTCTTGGGGAACCCCTAAAAATATTTTTTATTTAAACTTTTCCAAATTCACAAATTTTAAATATTACTTTAATATTTAGAACACAATTAGGTAGAATGTATAGGCACTTTATAAATTGTTTTTTATGAGACATCTTAACTAAGAGGTTTATTAAGATGCTTATTATTTTTGAGATATATCAACTTTTAGAGTTTTTTAGAGTTTTATTAAGATGCATGCATAAAAGATGTTGTCATTTGGGACACTAATTTAACTACTAAATTATAATTAAACCATTTATTACAATTTAAGGTGCATTAAAATTTTAATTCAAATTTAGTTTTAAGTTACCAATTTGTATCAATAATTTTAGTAACCAATTATGCTTATTTTATTAAAGCTAAATATTTTTTAATATTAATATTAAATATTTTTTAATATAAAAGATAAATACTTGCTAATATTAAAGTTAAATTTTTGTTAATAAAAAAATTGAATAATTGTTAATAATAAAGTTATATATTTGTTAATATTAAAGTTAAATATTTGTTAACATTAAAGACTTAAATTTTTTTTAATTTCATTTCAATTCACCTCCCCAAGGCCATGAAGGCCATTAAAGTTGAATAGGCTACTTTTAGTTGTGGTTAAAACCCTCTCTTAACTCTCTAACTCCGAAACACAAACTTTGACAAACAAGGCCACTGTGCAGAGAAATAAGTTAAATTAAAAATAAATAATTAAAAAATGGTAAGGCTTCTGGTCCAAACAACATTGCAATCTATATTCTTCAGTTTCTTGCTTATGATATTTCATCAAAACTTTCTGAACTAATAAACCTCTCATTCATTACCAATATATACTCTTATATATTTTGAAAACTGCATGCCAACTTTATACCAATTCATAAAAATAACTCTATTTTTCTTAGCATATTGCCTGATTTATTGGTTTAAATTGTATATATAAAATTGTACGCAGTTTGTTTCAACTAATGTGTTTGAAACCACAAACAAAGTTATTATTTAAGGTGCCTAAAAGGATTTTGCTTCCGGTCCTTACTGTTTTCAATATATATTAATGACTTATCTACTCTATAAATAATTCCATTGCTCATCAATTCATAAATAAAGGCAATCTTAAATGAATTAATTAAACACTTTCTCAGCTTTGTAAAAATGCTAATTCAAGCCTTTATCATTTGTACCATTAGATAAATAGTAACCAATTTCTCTAAATACTAACTAAACTGATTTATTTTATTTTTCACCCTCCAAATAACATTTTATTTCTTGACAAAAACTTAATATCAAAACAATCAACTAATTTGTTTATATAAAAAATATCTACAATTTTTTATAACATGAAAAAATGACTCAAGTGATTGTAAAATGATTGTAACAATATATTAAATTGTAAATCTCTTTTTAATAAAATAATTCATATTGTATATATTGCAAACTTTCCATAAAATGTCAATCGAACTAATTTTTCAAAAAAAGAAATGCTTTAAACTAAATACGCTTTTGTTAACAATTTTGGTAGTCACAATAAAAACAATTTGTTTTAACCTAAAAAAATAACCATTAAGCAATAGTTATTTTTTTAGTTAAATAACTTACCTAAATAAAAACTATAATAATATATAATAAAAACAGTTATCCCCCATCACCTAAATAAAAACTTACCACATTTCCATAGTTACCCCCTATCACCTAAATAAAAACTTACCACATTTCCATAGTTATCCCCCATCACCTAAATAAAAAAAATTGTTATAATTTATTAATGGCAATAATCATTTAAAGCTGACAGCTACTCACTTAAGGCTGTCTAAAATAATTTTGCATGGAAAAGTATTACATTATTTTTTTTTTTTTTTAGAAACCTAAATTATCTAGACAAGTCCTTATTAAATAAAGAAACAATAATAAACAAATATGAATTAGATACTTAATGTTTATTATATTAAAGAAAACATCTACTTATTTGTCTTTTCCAAAATAAATTATATTTGATTAAAATCACTTTTTCTTTAACTACTCATATACTAGAAAGTTCAAAAATTTATTTAATTTGATTTCAAATATATAAAGGCATGGATCACTTTCACATGTTATTAATCATTTAAATTTGCAAGGTTTAAAGTAAACGATAAATTGCTTCATAACAAAAAATTCTCATTTTTTATTATTATCAAAATACATCCTAGAGGTTTACATGACGAACTCCATAATTACAACACAGTAATATTCACAATTTATTTTAGCTAAATAATGTATTTGTAAAATTGTAGCAACCTAATAATTAGTTTACCATTACTATCAGTAGCAACTGAATAAATTAGTTTATTACCAACAGTAGCAACTGAATAAATTAGTTTACCATAGGGATGGCTCTTTTACTTACTTTTTTTTTACATATACGAGTAAAACAATCTTTATCAAAAAGTAAATTACATAAGTAATTTTAAACGTTTTATGTAAATTTACATTTCCGTATAAGTAATTAATTTTTTTGAAACGACTTTTACTTTATAATGTAAGTTTTTTTACTTTCAAAAGTAAGTTATGTAAAAAAAGATTAGATCAAAAAGTAATTTACTTTTACATGTAAAAGTAAGTCACGTGAAAAAGCTGTTTACTTTTACATTTAAAAGTTAATTACTTTTGAAAATTACTTTACATAATATAAAAGTTACTCAAACTGTAATTTACATTTATTTTTAAAAGTAACTAATTAAAAAAAATTATATTAAAAAATAACTTACATATAAAAGTAAATTACATAAAAGTAATATGCTAGCAAATGTAAATTAAATTTACAAAAAAATAATATTTTTTAAGTAGAAATTTTCTATATTAAAAGTAATAACAAATCTTTATTAAAAATAAGTTATATAAAATAAAGTTTAAATTACATAAACTTACATTTTATATAATTTGTAAAGTAAATTAAAAGTAATTTATATAAAATAAGTAAATAAATTTACTTATATTTTACAATAACTTTGACAGGATCTTGTACAAAAGTAATGCAAAAAAGTAAAATTTTAAGGAATAAGGCGTAAGACATTTAGTTTTCCCCAACATTTGATTTGCGCGGTTTTAAATATTTCTTTCATGTAAAGTTTGAAAAAATCAATAATAAGGTTCCGCCCATGATTAAAACTCTCTAGTTCAGGTCATGATAGTTTTAGCTATAATAAACATTCTCTGAAGCAAACCGTCTCAACAATGTTCACTCTTGGCCAACCGTTCGAAAGGTCTGGACAAAGCTGAAAAAAGGATGTTAGCAGAAGGCACATAAAACCAGAAAGGGTAGTTTATTTGAAAGAAAATTAATTAGCATAATTGTTAGTCCTTTTTACAAGTTTTTGCGTAAACGTATTTATTATTTAAAAACTAAGGAGAGAAAGTTTAAACTTGTCCTGAATTATCGGGGCTATAACACCATGCTTTGAAGAATAAGGAGCCCCGAACATTTTCAGAGGACGCTTTAATTTTGTAAAGATTTGATGCCACTATGATACTAAAAAAGTCCACCTGCTCAAGAATATCCTTTGACTCTAAAAGTCTTGGTTTAAACAACTACGGTACTTTTATATTTAGTTATTTTGAGATTTGAGCAGCCGTGGCGCAGTGGTAGTGCACTTGCCTTAGAAACAAAGGATCCGTGGTTCAAACCCCATTTCTAGGAATGCTTTGCGACATCGGTTAAGAAGAAGGCGTGAACTTTCAATTAAATGCTCATCAGCGGTGCTTTGTGCGAAGACCGTAAGGACTTATAAAAACATAAAAACTTTAGAACTTTTCACATAAATATCTTTATCTGTATGTAGTGGCCTAGCTACCGCAAAGCCAGTATAAGCATAACTTACGGTCCCACAAGCAACTGAACATAGAGCCGCAAGGTTTAGGAGATATATTTAAGATATATTTAAAGAGTTTTTTTTTGTTTTTTTTTTTTTTAGAAAAGTGATTGTTCCAGAGAAACAGAAATTGGGCACCTTGGTCACGTAAGCCTGGATACAAAATACCCTAAACATTTACCATATCTACTCTAAATGTGAGGGCAACAAATTAGTAATGATTTTTTTAAAAGGTATAATTTTGTAAAGTTTACGCCTTCGCCTAATGAGGTGGTTGTTCTAATCTTTTTTTAAACATTCTCATGTGATAAGCAAGAACAAACTAATGTTTGGCACTTAAGTTTGTTTTTATTTATACCTCAATAGAGCATAATATTAAAGATAATTTAATATTATGCATTATAATACAAAATATTATGAAAATATTTAAAATTTAAATTATTATGAAAATATTATGACACTACCAAAAATAAACTAAACAGGTGCACTTTTGGATATATAAGTTGTGCTAAGTTCGATCGATATAATGTACTCTGGTTCAATACCATTGTCATATTACCAATTATTTTGTAATAGTTTATTTTATACATGAGATTTAAATTGCTGTTATTAAATATTTCAAAAATTATTGCGTTTTAATAATTATAATATATTATAATGAAAACCATATTTTGTCTCAAAAATTTACTTACGTAAATTTGGAGACAAAATTTACTTACGTAATGTTAATATAATTATTAAAGACATCCTTATATTAATAGTTATTCATAAAGTCTTTAAAAGAGTTTAATGTGGTTTTTAACAACACATTAAAAGGTTCTCAGTAAACCTCATTTGTAAGCAACTATACAATAATATTATTAGTTAAAGAAAAGGCTGTTGATTAATTAATTGTAACTGGTTTGTTGATAAAAGGAATCGTTGCATGTTCAAATTGTAAAGCTTTTTTGCATTGCAGCATAATACCATGCAACACCACTCGTATTTAAATCAATTTAAAATTAAATCGTGTTTTTTGTTTAATAAATTTTTTGATAAATAATATTTTTTATAACACCGTTATTTTTATATGTTTAAAAAAAAAAATTATTTAAAACACCCTGTTTTAGAAAGTTACATTAGAAAAAAATTTATGGTTGAAAAGATTATGGTTGAAATAATTTTAAAAGTTGAAGTTTTTCATTTGGAATAATAATATTTCCTTTTAGTAGTTTAGCTTTTCTTTTAACAACACTCATGTTCCAATAAATTAAACTTAAACTAAATTTGTTATGAAAGGGTACAGTGAATCGGGGTACAATGAATAGGTTAGTTCACTTAATTAATCTTTAAGATCATTAATGTCCAATTAATGATCTTAAAGATTAAATTCATGCATTTTTAACAAACAAACTACATGAAAATGAATTTATTAGTTTCAAGTTTTTAATATTAATACTTGAATAATTTTTTAATTTTATAATACTTTTATAAGTTTTGTTATCAATAAAGTTCTTTTTTTTCGTCTCAATTTTCAAAAGGTTTATTTTTACAGTGTCTTTAGCCTTATATTTATTTGACTATGCTGCTAATCACTATAATTAATTCACAGCTGTGTTCATTGATTCACTGGGCCCCAGTACTGGGGCAAAGTGAATAACATAACGCAACTCACTCTAAAACTTTCTGTGAGCCGATAGATAATAAATATTTGGGTTTTAGTAATTTATCATCATGAAAAACATATCTCAATCCTTTCGCCTTGAAAAAATAAAATACATATTTTAACTTTTGCTTAATTTAAAAAATAAAATCCGATCGACTGTGCCCTAACTTAACATATATTTCCAAAAGTAACCTGCACCACCACAATAGTTTCTACCTTAACCAGTCAGATCTCACTGGGTGATGACAAATATACCAACATATAAAAAAGCATAAATAGTAGTTCTACCAGTTCTTATTCCAGATGGCTACCCACTATTAAAAATCGCCAAATAAAAAAAATACACTTTCTCATTTTTTTAAGGGTTTAACTTTATGCACAATCAAATAAAATAAAAATTTGATTGTTGTTTAAGGTCGAACCCTTATACAGCAATCAAGTTTGCCCTTACTTAATTCTCTTGAAAGGTTTGGAGTTCCAAAAAATTACAAAAGTTACTAAAAAGGGTCTTAGCATCAGTTAAAAATTCTTTTAAAAAGCCTACAGATCTCGATCTCGACATCAAAAACTAAGCTCAATTAAATACAGTTTTAATGTTAGAAGAACAGAAAATGATGGAGAATTTAATGCCTCTTGTTCTTTTTTTAATGTATACTGTTTTTTTAAGGTTTTTATTTTGTTTTTGTTTTTGTGCTTTACTACATTTGAAAATTCCCTACTAACAATAAGTTGAAATTTTACAATCTTAAGGAGGTACGACACACCCGCCCCTAAAGCATAACCCAGAAGTTGCGCACGATCTAAACGTCTTTAAAGAAAAAAATAAACTTTTTATGTAAGCTAGTTAACTTGTTGTGAACTAGCATATATAAAAAATATTATCCTTTTAACAATGTACCAAATTGGACTTACACGTTTGGCTTCCCCAAAATTGAATGTGAGCATGTAGGTCAACTTAATTTTTATGACAAAAAAATTACAAAATGACAAAATTTTTATGACAAAAAATGACAAAAAAATCTTTGCGACAAAAAAGAAAGGTGTAAAAACGAGCATAAAAATTTTTTAAAAGATGAAACTTGATAGATCTTGTTATTTTCATAAAACTCTCATTACTTTCACGTAATCCCTTCCCTAATATTTCTGAAAATTAATACTATTTTTAAAAGTATAATTAACAGTTGTGTAAAAATCTTAACATTTGACTCCTCCAACAACTATTGCATAACCTTAATCATACAA